AAATAAACACAACATTTGTTTTGGATTTTTATAAGATTTTAACTACTATTTATGATTATTTTTCTCAAAAATTTGTTTGGGAGACTTTCCACTATTTATCAAAAAAAATTTCTTCTAAAAATATCGAATCAATACCTATTTTCATTTTTTTACATTATATTAAAATTTATTTTTATATTTAAAACATCAAATCAACTTCTATTTATATCACATTATACAATTATTCCAATTCAAAATTTTTACTATTCAAATCTCAACTCAAAATCCAAACTCCCAGACAAATACACCCTAAATATATATTTTTTATTATATGAATATTAAAAATTAATTTTATATTCAAACATGTCAACATCTATTTATATCATAAGAAAAATTACAATAAATATCTTGTATATATTTTTAATTATAAAATAATTATTATTCCCTTTCTACTACGTACAATCTTAAATTCTTGTATCTAAAGTAATATGGACTTATTTAGTGACAGAGAGAGTAATATTTTTAAATACAAAATATCAACTAAATTAATATTATATTTAAAAGTGCATTATAATTTAAATATTACTCATTTTGTTTCATATATTATATCACGATTTTCATTTTCGTCCGCTTCAAATGTTATTTTTAGAAAAAGTTATACGTTTTAATCGCATTTTAAATTTTATAATTTTAATTAAATTAATTAAATATTTTTTTCTTAATTTATAATTATTGGTATTATATTGTAATTAATTCTACTAATATAATTTTAGTTATTTAATAATCATACTTTTTTTTTTTTTTTTCCCTAAAATCTCGTATTTAAAGTAACTTTGACATTATATATTTAGAGTTGAGAAAGTAGCATAATTTTTTAAAAATATAACAGATAAATTTGGGTTATGGTAGTAGTTTTCTCGGAAAAGATTAGTTTGAAATAAATTTTTACGACTAACAGCAAAATATAAATGAATTTTGTTGAAGTTTTTATTTTTTTTTATTTTTTTATTTTGTATTATGCAATTTCATAATTATATATATATATAACACGTATTTTACATGTAAAGTTCATATTTAATAACAATTTCATTAAAAATCAAAATATAAATAAAAAATAAAAAAACTATAAATAATTAATTATATTCCCATTTAATTTTGTATATTTTATAATAAAATATAGAAAGAAATTTACAAGGTGCTTTTTTCTTAAAATAATACTCCCACCGTCCCAGATACCGTGTCTGGTAGACACGGTATTTTAGGAGTGATGTAATTAGTAGATAATTAAGAATATATTAGTGAAAATACTTATCTTATAATATAATAATTATAAATTAAGATTAAGATAACTAATTAATTTAATTAAAATTAAAAAAAATTAAAAATTTAAAATGAGATTAAAGTGACATAGTATGTTGCACGGATAAAAACGGCAATGTGGACATGGTATCTGAGACGGAGGAAATAATAATAATTCTAAAAGTTCAAGGTTTTCTCTCTTTTTTTTTTTTTTTTTTATGGATTGATTGATTGATTTGTTCTTATTTAGATTATTAAATGTAAAAAATAATTTTTAAATAAAATGTTTTAAAATTAAAACAGAAAATCTAAAATATAAATCAAATTATATTTTGGGCTTATTAGGCAAATTATTTTATAATTATATATATAAAGGCAAATTGTGGAGTTTCCAAATGGTGCCAAAAACAAACACACACCACCATTAATATACATACAAAAATGATAAACACAAAACCCTAATTTCAATTTCGTAGATGACCTATCCTTTTCTTCTTCTTCTTTAGTTTTATCCTTTATTTATTTATTAATTTATTTATTATTTTCTCTATTTGATTAGGACCACACAGCAGTACTGTTGAATCCATCAACAATTCCTTAAACATTACTCTTTCACTAACTAATGTATTTTGTGATAATGTTGAATATATATAATTAATTGATTTATGTGTATATTAAATACTATTTTATTATTATTATTATTATTATTATAAGGAAAACAATTATTTTTGGTTCCAATATAATCAAAATTCATCAATTTTGGTCTCAACATGAAAATCTTATCAATTTTGGTCTCAATATAACCAAAACTCATCATTTTTTGTTCCAATATAACCAAAACTCATCATTTTTTGTCTTAATATAATTTTTTTTTTATCTATTTTAGTCCCAATATAATCAGAACTCATCATTTTTTGTCCAAATATAATCAAACCTTATCTTTTTTGCTCCCACCATCAACAAACCAATGAAAAATGCTAACGTGGACTTGCATAATTGTACAATTTCTTCAATATAAATATAAGATTTGATTTCTTTTCACGTCAATATTTTCCGTCGGTTTGTTGACGGTGAGATAAAAAAAGATAAGGTTTGATTATATTGGGACAAAAAATGATAAGTTTTGGTTATATTTGGACTAAAATTGAGAAAAATTTTACATTGAGACAAAAAATGATGATTTTTAGTTATATTAGGACAAAAATGATGAGTTTTGGTTATATTGAGACCAAAATTGATAAGATTTTTATATTTGGACCAAAATTGATAAATTTTGATTATATGGGGACAAAAAATAATTTTTTCCCTTATTATTATCATTATTATAGGAAACATTTTGGAGTAATTAATTTGTGGTTTTAAAACAAAATGTAATAGCTTTTATAGCCCCCTCTATTTTTCACTAAAACCATGTAACAGAGGGATGTGAACGGGGCGGGTTCGGGACGGGTTTTGCAGGCTCCGAGACCCGCCCCGATAGAAAATATTAAAACCAAAGACCCGTCCCGCCCCGTTTCAATCCGGCCTCAGGATCCGTCCCGTCCCGAATCTTTTAGGTCGGAGCCAATCCGACAAATCCGTTTTTTTTTTAAAGAAAAAAATATAATTTTTTAAAAATAATTTAATACTAAATAAAAGTATGCGTCAAAGTAAAAAAAAAAATTATAGTTTTAAAAATAAGAACAATCAAATATTGACAATAGTCGAGAGTGATAGCGGTTAGCAGTAGTCTTGATTATAAATAGAATTTTACGAGAAACAAATGCGAAAATAAATTTGATATAGAATTAAGATTCTATTTTATATTTAAAACTTTTTAAATAAATAAATAATACAATTTATATTGTATAAAAATTTTAATAAATTAGAATAATTATTAGAGTATCCGGTTTCGGTTCGGAAGGACGGGTTTTTAATAGAACCCATAACCCGCCTTAAACCTGGCCGGATCTAAAACTCAAAATCTACAACCCGCTATGAACCTGCCCTATTAAGACCCGGTCTGGGACGGTCAGGGGCTAACCCGCCCCGACATTGCTAATGTAATATATCTTTCTGAAGTTCTTCATTAGGATTTACAATATGCAACATTCTCCAATGTGATTTAGAAACTGTACTATTTCTCATATTTTAAAAAATATTGCATATAATTTTTTAAAAATTGCGCGAGACGCTTTCGTGGTTTTGAAAATATTGCACAAAATTCTTAAAATGAGAATTTTGTGCAATGTTTATTAAAACATGAGAAAGTTTCATGCCATTTTTAAATCACGAAAGAGTATGATGTAGAATTTTCAAAATCCAAGTGAGTTACGAACAATTATATCTATATATTTTTTAAATTATCCTTGCAAGCTTAAAATATGGTGTGTTTGGCTATGATTTGAGTTTTTTTATTTAAATAATATTAATTGTGATATTTTTATTGAAATATATGTATGATGAATAGTGTTGGTTTCAGTTTAAAATTACGATCAAACACACTCATAATTTACACGAAGTATCAATAATATATGATTTTCAGCTGGCATGCTCACATACACATATGGGTGTGTTTGTTTGGAGGATTGGATTTAAATTCAATTATTCATCCAATTTTTTCTCCCCAAAAATATCAAATCAAACACCTATTTTTCATTTTTTATATTATATTAAAAATCAATTTTACATTCAAAATATCACATCAAATACCTATTTATATTACATCATACAACTATTCAAATTTAAAATTTTTACTATTCAAATCTCAATCCAAAATCCAAACCCCCAAACAACCACACCCATATAGTACAATCACATAATCTTGTTCTTTAAAATTTCACAATGTATAACAAATAATTAATTTATATGACATTAATCAAGCTCAAGTTCAAACAAAACAATTGAATTACAATAAGTATATATTTATTCTAAACTATGATATATTAGAAAATCTAAACTATGATACATTCGAACATCTATTTTTTAAATTTTGAGCAACTAAAGAATGAAATTATGTGTTGTAATGTTTACTAACTGAGGCTTTGTTTAGATTACAAGTTTCAAACATTGGCACTATTAATTCTTTTAAAAATATCATATCAATTTTTATTTTATTTTTTTCACAAAATATCACATCAAATATTAATTGTTTACTTTTTTTAAAATTTTCAAAACTCCCAAAAATCTTGTCTAAATGGAGCCCAAATCTTTGAAATTTTAGGTTATTTTATAAAATGATACTAATATAGTCTAAATAATTAATTATTGAACTATATAAAAAAGTGAACAAATTATTTGATATTCTAAACTTTGCTTTTAGCTAATATATACTCCTTCTGTCATCCGAGCTCATTTGACCGAACACGAATTTTAAAAAAATTGATAAAAAGAGATTTTTTTTGCTTTTTAAGATAAAAAAAAATGGTATTTGCAAAAATAAATTTAAATGACAATAAAAAATGAAAATTAACAATAAATTTGAATTACAATAGTACATATATATATATATGTACGTATCATATATATAGGGAACATGATAAAATCATCACTAGGATCATATATATAAAGTATACTATAAGCTTCTGTCTAGGATCTGTTCTCATCACCAACATACATTCAATGGAAAATTCGAAAATATATATATATTAACAAATACAATATATAAATCCTATAAATATACATATGAACCCAATACACACACAGTGTGTATATATATATATATGCATATGTATATTGTGTACCTAGATCAAGAAACCTGATTAACCAATGGATCCCGAAATTGATTAAACATCGAAAAAAGAGGAATTATTGCCTTTGTTTTGTTGGATTTCTGAGTGCTTCTGTGCAGGAAGAATATTGCAGGAAGATATGGTGAAAGGAGAAGCCCTGAGAATGGCTGCCGCCGCCGTCTGATTATAAACCGGCAACGGAAAAGAATTCGACCATGATGAAAAGCTCATTTCCAGTTCATCATCACGAGTGTATCCGAAGATCTGCGCAGGCGAATTCGGATTGGGATTGATCTGGACCGTCGATTCTAGGGTTTGTGAGGGAGGGCAAATTAGGGCTAAATTAGGGTTCACGAATGGATTACTGTGGAGGATTAAGGAAGACGAATTCGGAATCGGTCTGGTTTCTTCACGATTTTCAGTCACTTGATCTGAATTTTTGTTGTTAATGTCGTCGTGATCGGTAATTAGGCTGAGGGTGGCGCGGCCGGCGGCGGCGGCGGCGGGGGGGTGCTTGGTGGTGGCTCTGGAATGTTGTAGAAGGGTCTGGAATGGGCGGGTGAAGAAGCCGTGGGGGACTTGGAGCGGCGGCAGCTCGTCGACGGCATGGTGGGCGGCGGCGAGGAGCCAGTCGACGACCTTGCTGGGCTGGGTGAGGCCGAGGCGGTCCTGGAGGTCGTAGAGCTGTATGGCGGTGGGGACGGAGAGGCGGACGCGGCGGTCGCGGAGGCCGCGGATTGTGAAGACCTTGCTGTGGCGGTCTTTGCCGCCGAGGGTTGGCGGCGCGCGAACGATCCGTGGGTCCCGTCGGGCGGCGGTCCAGCTGGGAGGCCGCGCTGCAGTGGTGGCGGAGGATGAGGAAGACGATGGGTTGTCTGAGGCTCTTGGTATCATGATTTGTGTGTGTTGAGAATCGACGGCTGAGATTGAAGGATATATGTATGGATGTTGATGATGATCTGATGAATGATCTAGAATTGGCTGAATTCTTGAATATATATATATATATGGATTTGGAAATAAGCCCTAAATGTGTTGGGGAGATTGATTGAAATGAAAATGGAAGGTTCTTTTCATACATATAGGTGGAGAGGCGGCCGGTTAATTTTAGTTAGTAAAAGTAATTATATATTAATATCAAAATACATTTAATATTTACTTAAATTATAAATATATCATTATATATAAAGTCAAATGACAGAAATATCAAAATTTTTTACACTTTTACTTACTAATAAAATATTATTATTTTTTAATTTACTGTATAATTTTAAAGGGCTCCTTTAAAATGGAACAGAGGAAATAGTATATAATAATTTTAGTTATAAGCATTGGTATAGATTTTATATATTTGAATTTTGGATTTTGAATGATGCTTGTACAATAAGCACTTGGCCAAATTACAAACATAGATAATTGTTGTTATTTGATACTTCTTCTATATTTGTTATGGCTTTTTTTTTTTTTTTTTTTTTTTTCTTGTTCATCGAAAAAAATATTTATGTTTTTTTTATTAGTAAAAAAATACTACTTTTTGTTTACTATAAAAAGAAATTATTTACATTTTCATTCACTTTTCTTAAAATTTGGCTTCCGGTCAAATGTGTATAAATTTTGATAACGGAGGAAGTATACGTTATGGTTATGGTTATGGTTATTTGTATTTGTATTTTTATTTTTAACTGAAAAGGTTAGAGTATAATAATTTATATAGACTGTTATGTATTTTTTTTTTAAAAAAATAATAATAATATTCTCTTCGTTCGGAATAATTATGCTATTTTTTTCTTTTTAATTATCAGTTAAAATTATACATAATCTATTTATGTAAATAATTTTATGTATTCATAATTTCACTACCCATACTTTAATAAATAATACTCCCTCCATCCTATAACAAAGTATCTATTTTTCCATTTTAGTCCGTCCCATAACAAAATATCCATTTTTTTTAATAACTGTACTATCTGCCTAAATTACAAATACCCTTACAACTTACAATATATTACACAAATGTCATTATCTTTATATCACACATACTAACAAGGTTATTTTAGTCATTTCGATTTTATTCCCACTATATCTCAATATAATACTAATATTTCTAAAACTACTGTGCAAAAAGCAAATGAATACTTTTTTGGAGGAGGGAGTAACTAATTTACTACTATTTATACTTACCATATTATTTTATTATTAATCTCTTTAATAAATTTTTTTCTAATACTCTCACTTGCTTTTTATCTACTCTATTTTTATTAAAATATTAGTATTATTTTTTAATTTTTATATTTGAACAATAATTAGTCGAGACGAGGGAATAATATTTTATTTGTAAACGTGTGTGCAAAGATTTTAAAGTTTTTGCTCTTTATATTTTATGTTAATAATGTGTGATAGTAGATTTATAATCTAGGTAAAACTTAAAAATATTTTGATATTAATATTATAGAATTTTTTTGTTTGCTTATGGTTTGATCTGATTTGAAATTACTGTTGAGTTGAATTTTTATTCAAATAATATTTTAATGTGATATTTTGTGAAAAAAAAAAAAATTTCCGTCCCACATAATTTGTCTAAATTTTTTATTTTTGTTCGTTTCACATTTTTTTTTTAAATATGATTATATATTTTAATCATATTTTAAATTTCATAATTTATAATTTTTTTTAATTTTAATTAAACTATTTAGTTATCTTAATCATAATATATAATCATTTTTATTATACAATAGTTATTTTTATCAATACATTCTTTAATTACTTATAATTATACTTTACTTAAATTCTCGTATCTAAGCCTAAATTAAGAATTGTATAGAATGAATAATATTGATTTTGATTTGTATATAAATTTGATAGTTTCTTTTATTACTTCATCCGTCCAGCTACAAAGTATACATATTTCTATTTTGGGACGTCCAATTACAAAGTAACAATTTCATTAAATACCTCATTTTTTTTTTCACAAATACCCTTATTTTACATCACATTATTACTTTTATACCAAAAAGTAAGGACAAAAATGTCATTACACTACTTTTACCTACCCCACTATAATTAAAATACTATTATTTCTTAAACTTCGCACCAAAAGTAAATAAATACTTATTGTGTGAAAGGAGGGAATTTTATTTTTGCAATTATAAATTATTAGGTTTTTTTTTTTTTCTAACACAGCAATATAAAGTTATATGAACATATGGCTTAAAGTATGTTTGGTATTTATTTCAAATAAATAAATAAATAAAATATACTGTTTGTGAAATATAGTAATTCTTCAAACAAAATATTATACTCCTTCCGTCCCAGGTTGCCATTTTCTATTTCCATCCGTCTCAAAACAAGGTTACCATTTCATAATTTAGTAATTGTACTACCTACCTCACATAATAAATACCCTTCTAACTTACACTATATTACACAAATGTCGTTACTTTTATATTACACAATACTAAAGGAGTATTTTCATTTTTTTTACTACAACTCATTATAATACTAATATTTAAAAATATACATGCAAACAGTAAATGATAATCTTGCACCGGGATGGAGGGAGTATCAATATATTAAATCTATTTCTAATCAATTTCAAAACACAACTAAACAAAATCAAATTTAAGTTTATTCAAAATTACAATTCCAATAATTTTCTAGTTTAAATTTGTTTTCAATTCATTTATTATCTAATTATAGTAGTTTTTTTATAAAGATATAGTACTCTCCGAAAATTTAGGGCCCTATTTCGTTTGTTTTTTTTTTAATAATGAAGTTAAGACTAAATTTTTTATAAAAAATTTTTTCGAACGAGAGAGTATTACATTTTTTTATAAAATATTATACTCCCTCCGTCCCGCTGCAAGCTTGCCATTGGCTTTTTGCACGTTATCTTTAAATATTAATTATTATATCAAAAAGCAGTACAAATCGAGAAAAAAAAGACAAGAATATGTTTATTAGTCTCTTATAATACTAATATAATGATATTTTTAGAGTAAATTATTCAAATATAAAGATATTTTTAATGTCAAGTATAATGACACAAAAACCAAATGGCAACCTTGCTGCGAGACGGAGAGAGTATTACTATTATTTAAATAAAAGATTGAAATAAAAAAATAAAACCAAATTTCAAAAGCACACATGTAATTCGAATACTCGCATGATCTAACCAATTGATGTGTTGTTATATTATACTTTCATTGTCTCAATTCAATAATCATATTTTACTATTTATATATGTTTTAAAATAATAATTTTATTTTCATAAATAATTATATCATCTTAAAAAAATTTATTATTATTATTATTACATACCTATATTAATTTTGTTCACTTAAATCAAAACATTTATAAAAATACAAGAAAAAAAAATTATTCATATTTTTATCAATTATCAATATAATATTAATATTTTTAAAATTTTATGGATATGAATATTATTTAGAAACCCTTAAAGCTATCATCTTCATGGACAACTACATTGTACAATACTACATACAAAATAAAATTATTATATCGTGAGAATTTATCGAATTTATTTCGATAATCTACATCGATTCGACGTGATTATCGAATTTATTTGGATAAAATTATTGTGATTATCGAATTTATTTCGATAATCTATCTCGATTCGACGTGATTATCGAATTTATTTGGATAAAATTATTGTGATTATCGAATTTATTTCGATAATCTACCTCGATTCGACATGATTATCGAATTTATTTGGATAAAATTATTGTGATTATCGAATTTATTTTTCGATAATTATTTGTTATTATCACGGTATCATAATTTTTCCAACAAAATATACATACAGAAAGTTGTACGTATATATATATATATATATGTATAAGTGAGATGCAGGTGGCGACGTGACAGTGTAATAACATGTACAGAGAAACACGTTGTAATACTTTCACCATACACACCAGAATTTGCTATTTTGTATTCAGAATTATTCCTATTTCGGTCTCCTTACATACCCCACCCCCCCAATATTTATATATATATATATATATATTTTTATTATATGTTGATTTTTTTTTTAAACATATATGTATAGAAAAATATTCAAAAGAATAAAAGAAATATTAATAATTAAAATCCATTTGATTTTGATTTCGAATTAAAATTATTATTTATTTTATATAGTTTTTAATAAAAAAAAAAAAATTAAACCTAAACCAAAACAAACAAGCTTTGGGTTGCCGGAATAAAATAATCTTAATATTTTTCTTTAAAAATATTTTTTATTTTTTATTTAAAGAGAACAATACTATTTTCTCACTTTTAAACAATACAAAAATAAATATATATAATATATAATTCCTATTGCTATCACTTGTTATTTATTGAAGTATTAAAGACAGAAGTTCTAGATAATATTACCGTGTTTCAAGCACGGTTATGTGTTGTGTATATTATTATAATGTATTAAATTAATATATTTTTTATGATGTAGTAATTCGAATAATATAGTTGTCTGAAAATAAATATGTCTATAAATTGTAAAAGATGTGTCCCTTTATGTATATTTTTCAAAAAATATATATATTATTTTTCAAATTATTTATGAAATATTTGTCTTTTAGTATTTTCACATCAATATTTTATTATTCAATATTAATATTTTCACAAAAGAAAAAAAAAACCATAAAGAAAGAAATTTCATCCAACATTCATATTACATTAGTACAAAATACTTACATTAAACAGTTTCTTTAGTTTCAAAAACTTGTAAACTAAAAACATGGATTTTGTGATTGTTTTACATTTGTGTATGCTTTTTGTAAGTTTTGATGCAATTTTTTTTTTTTCATTTTAGTTCGTCTCATAACAAAGTATCAATTTTCTTTTTTTTAGTAACTGTATTATCTACCTAACATTACAAATACCTTTACAACTTATAATATATTACACAAATATCATTACCTTTATATCACGCATACTAATAAGGTTATTTTAGTTATTTCTACTTTATTCCTACTACATCCCAATATAATACTAATATTTTTAAAACTACGTGCAAAAATCAAATCGATATGTAATTATGAGACGAAGGGAGTAGTATTTTTTTCAAGAAAATGCTAAGTAAATAAAGATTTTTTTCTCAATAAATATCATATTAAAATCAATTTTTTTTGTTATTTTATAAAATTTTCAAAAACTTTCACGTTGGATTTTTCAAAAGATATTATTATTCATTTATTTTTTTTTCTCAAAAAAAATAAATAAATAAATTAAACAATTATTTTTTATTTTTTATATTATTATTATTCTACAAATCAATTTTATATTCAAAATATCATATTAACATCTATTTATATCGTATCAAATAACTATTCAAATATAAATTTTTACTCTCTCCGTCCGACTCTAAGAGTCTTATTTACTTTTTGTGTGTTGATCTTTGAATATTAATTATTATATTAAAATACAGTATAAATTAAAAAAAATACTCTCTCCGTTCCATGAGTATAAAGTAGAATCTAAAAGACTAAAATATCTTTACTTTTTGAAGGATTTTTAAAAGTATGGTAGAGTAATAATTACGAGTAGTTTGGAAAAGTAGAAATAATTTTGTTATAAAGTGGGGACCATAGTTACTGTATAAGGAAACATGATAATTGTTTTGGGACGGACGAAAATGGAAAAATAAGACAACTCTTTTGGGACAGAAGGAGTACAAAAATACTTCGAGATGTCTTACAATACTTACAAAAGGACATTTATACAAAAAATTATACAAATATAAATACATTTTTAATATTAAATATAATAACATAAAAAGTAAATGTAATTTTTTAGAGGTAGACGGAAGAATACTGTCTAAAAATCCAAACACAAAATCCAAATATAAGGAATGATTTGATTTGATGTGAAACTAAAGGAAAGTCATGAATTTCAAAGTTGGGCCTATTATTACGTCAATTTACACTAGTGAACTGAGGGACCATCTACTATTTTGGATTTCTTCAAGGTTATATAATGTGCTTATCAAATTTGTCCAAACACGTCCTTATCAGGACCACAGTCTTCCCTCCCAAGAGCACGCCTGATAGCTGAGCTTCAACTACTCTATTACACACTGCACCCGATCATACTTAAGCCACTGTTTGTTTGTTTTTCTGTTGTTTGCTAATAATCAATAAAATACAAGTGTATGTATTTAGAATTTTGGATTTTGAATTGAGATTTAAATAGTAAAAAATTTGAATTGAAATAATTATCCGATGTTGATATAAACAAGGATTGATGCGATATTTTGAATGTAAAAATTGATTTTTTAAATAATATAAAAAAAATAAAAAAATAGATATTTGATTTAATATTTTTTTTAAAAAAAAATTATATGAATAGTAAAAATCCTTCGAACAAACACACATAATCCACGTTTCCGCTGACCTGTATACATTGTTAACTAGGGAATTTGCTTGGTTGTATTTTCGATTCAGCAGCTTTTACTTTTTTATTCAAAATATCATATCAAATATTTTACACATTATTTAATTTAAAATTTACTATTCACAAAACATACCAAAACGCAAGTAAACAAATTTATACTACTATTTTTGCTTATTTTTTTAGCAAATTGATTTTTTTTTTAAAAAAAATGATATTTTGATTGAAAGTTTTACTTAAATAATATTATAATAAGATATTTTATAAAAATATATATTTTTTAATAAAAATAATAGATAATAATTTTCAATTTTAAATATAAACCCAAAATATTTGAGTTAGAAAAGACTTGTAATTCATACAAAAATTAGAAATTTCTATTACAATTACAGTTTATTCACAATTTCAATTCAAATTATTAACAAACCCTTATCTAGTGGAGACACCCAAACAACTTTACACTATTGCCTTTTTTCTAATTTTCATATTCCTTCTTGCCCATAACTGTAATTAGGGTTGGGAAAAATTAACTCGACTTCAACATGACCTAAAATAAGTGGATTTGAGTTGAGATTTTTTACCCAATTAATAATTTGGTCAATCTCATTTAACCAATTTAATTAAATGGGTCGAGTTAAGATCTCGATCTGAAAATAATCCGTCTAACATGTTTAATTAATATTATTTTAAATTTAAATATATTTTTTAAATTTTATCAATACAATTCAATATTTATGGCCAATTTTTAAGAATAAAAAATAAAAGATTGTGTTGTGAACTATTATGTAGTGTTTGTTAATTCAATTATTAAATATCGATTTCATGAATAAATAATTTTTTGCTTTAATATGTATATATATAGTATACATTTGAAAATTTTGTTAGTAGAAATTGTAATTTTAAATTAAAATTTAAAAAATTTAGACTTAAGATCAAATTCAAGTTGACCGATTAATAAAAGATTAGGTAAAAGTTACAAATATCAACTCATTTAATTAAATTGATCAAGTTCAGGTCAAGGGTTTGGTAACCCGTTTAAAGCTGACCCGAACTTGAACCAGATCTGGCACATTTGCCGGCCCTAATTGTAAGAGCCTGATTAGTTCTTCAATGTTTGGTTTCAATTTATTATTGAAACAAAAAAGAACACAAACAGGGTTAATGAGAAACTTGTACCTTTTGGGAGAATGGGGAATTGCAAGAATCCATAGCTGAATGTGGCCATAAAACTATTTCACCAGACATTGCCATTTCTGATTTCTTCAACTGTATCCGGTTTTGACCCAACAGGAGGAAATCAACAACAAGCATGCAATTTGTTCACCCCTTTCCCATTTAAAATTCACTAAGAAATATGTGTAAAACAATCACAATCACAATCATTCTAATTCCTAGTTTGTAAGTATTGATTGATTTAAACAGATATCCTAATTATCATAAAAGATAAACACAGCTCGACTTAGTCGAACAAAACCAAACCTCTTGATTGTCAATCTAAACAAAGAGATAACATTGGCATAGTGCATACAGATTAGCCACCATGGATCGAAAATAATTGGACTTTCATGAAAGAGTGCTTAGTAACAAGTTACTTCAAGAATTAGAACATGCACGCGGCGATAAAAAATTTAAGTATTGTTGCCTATCGCGCTACCTTCACTTACCTCAAAGACATGCACCCATGTTGATCGATGGAAGTTGATGCAAAAGCAGCAACATGAAATTCCTGATACTCACTTGGATAGTCGATGCTCTAGACTGGATTTATAGCATGCATGTCCATAGAACGATGCCTTTAGACAAAATCACTACATCCATGTATACAAGCTAGAAATCTTATCTAATTTTATGCAACCGCCGACCCCTCTAAACTAAAGAATGAAGGACCTGACGACTTAGCAACCATACTCAAAAAGAGAGGAGATTTAGAAAAGGAAACAAAGTTAACATGCCCTATCTAATTCAGTAAGCAACAGAAACCGAGAGACTGTCCCCTAATAACAAACGTTTAAGATCTATATAGTCACTTTGAGGATACAAACTTATTAAGATAAAGAGTACCATGAGAAAAGAAAACAATATGCCTTAAGTACACCAGTACATTATTTTAGAAACTGGTCATTGAACTTGTGTCATTAATCTTCTTGTCTCACTGAGGAACACCTAGCGCCTCAAAAAATAAAGTGTTGAACGTAAACATTAGAAAGACAACAAGACATCTTTGGTGAAACAATGACCAACTTTGAGATCCAACAGTAAGAACCCTTAAGCACCGAAATTCAGCAACAGCTTACAGTCCTGTCAAACAGAGAAAAGAGATTTAACTGGGTAAGACCAAACAGTGATCCTGATCGCACGAGCCTCTCTTGGGAAAGAAACGAAATGGAGAAAACCGTCACCCACAATCACTTTGACTCATAGCAAGCATATGAATCTCCGAAAATGCACAAATACAGAGAAAAGCATATTCACAGTGACAACCAATGGGCAGATGATCAAAACAAGCAACTTGTGGCTGAACAGAACATGCAATTTATGTTGTAAATGCAACAAAAATAACTCAAATCTGAGCAGAACATAGCTCAAAAACTATCTAAACCAAAAATACAATCCAACACCATCACCTCCTCCTCCTAAAGTTGAAATGAAGTGAACAATGATCACATTGGTTGCACAAAACATTTGCACTAAACTTAAGATTGTTTCCAATTTCACCACTCATTAACAATGCTGCAGAATGTATAAAATAAAGAAATCCAGTCTAGGGAATAATTGTGAAAAAGTTCCTCTGTACAATTTTCTAATCGTCAAATTCAAGCATGACTCAGGAACAAGTGTAATAGCAGCTTAAGAAAATGTCCACAACTAGCCTCAACATGACATCACAGCTAGGATGCAAGTTAAAAGTTTTCAAATAAATAAATAGTAATTAAATAAAAAGAGACTTGTAAATCAAAATTTTTCAGCAGGCAACTCAACTATGACAAAGACCCAACGTAGAACTTGAACTTACTAATAACATGGATACAAATCGTGTGAGGTCACTACCTGAGAATAACAATCCATTTGGTGAAGGATTGTTCAAGGTGAAAAATGAAATTGAAGTGTATGTGCTCTTTGGGGGCCTTTGCAAGCCCATGCTACACTTACAATTTTGATAATGAAGAAAAAGTACTATTAAATGAAAGAGGATCAACTCATACAATAGCCTAAGATTTGACGAGCCAGCCTAACTCTTAGGGCCGCTACCTCAACAATGGATAAAAGTGAAATGGTTGGTGCTTTGAATTTCACGTGTATGCAAAATAAGCTTACAAGGAGAACCCCAAAACAAGCATACTGACTTAATTGACAATCAAGGATGCCAATTCAATCTGAACCACAGTTGATCCCAGAGAATTCAAGGAGGCCAAATTCATAATCAAGAGACAGGTAGACATTCCAACCAAAGGCAGGCAACTCAACAATGCCAATTGTAGAGACAAAAGGCAAAATAGGGCAAACCGAAAGAGCTATCAGTAGCATAAAACTCAAATTTCAAGGCTAAATATAGAGTTCGACTATAGGGCCTTAATTTTTATCTCCCATTCAATTCTTGGTGATCTTATTTTTTTCATTTTGTTTCTCCTCTCTATCTGTTCTCTATAACTATGACAGAGTCACATTGAATGTTACATAGACGGTGGTAATTGAATGTCTCTCTCTACAATAAGATCGATTTCCTTCTTTATCAAGTCTCTTAATCTTCAGAATCACTTACTTCTTCTACTGCTTTTCTAAGGATCTTTGAGCAATATTTGCTACTTTGTTCACCATAGATTCATTGTTGCAGATTACTTTCTGGTGCTATTTTCCTTTTTTCACTTACTAGAAAAATTAAGCAATAAGTATTTGTAATCACATTCTCAAAGTGTAAACAAACAATTTTGTATTGCGGCAACATGTTTTAACAACTAATGGTTATTGAGAAGGCCCATCTTAGTTTAAGTTCATTCAAATTGCCTACGTCCACAACTAACACAAGCTTTCCCTTTTTGTTAAATCACCAAAGTCGAGAGCCTATTCCAACTCCAAATCCTATTAAACCTTTGTAAACATTGGCTTTGTATTTTTCCTTTACCCTTAAATTACTCAAACAATACACACCCAAAAAAAAGTACAATGCCACTAATGAATCATTTCATGAGAAAAAAACAATCCAGTAAAGATAACCAATAGATCGAACTAAAAATACAATAGAAATGCAAGAAAAAGCCCATACCCCAATCATTTCTGGTAGCCACCGCCAATTGCATTATCATCCTCAATAACCGTCGTAGTCAAATACGGCCGGGGTAACTCGCTCGGATCGAAAGTCTTTTCCTTCATCATCTTCTCCACATCAGCCTTCTTCAAAATAGTGCGCTTAATTGGAGGCCGGTTGCGTCGCTGATCGCGAGGGAAGTACTTAATGTCGAAAACCGTCTCCGGGAGAGAGGATGGAATGACTACCTTCTCCGGCGCGGTGGCGGGGCAGAATACTCGGTACTCTGTGGCCTTGGGAACCGCCGATTTGTATTCTGGATGGGACTGAGGGCCGGTGATGTCCCATGGCTTCTTGACGTAGCGGCGAAGGTTTTGAATTAGGGATTTCGCGAAGGAAGCCATTGGAGAGAAAATTGGGGATTTTCAGAAACGGAAATATCAAAATATGATTGAACGGAATCGCCAAACTGCTGAGTCGTTCGTCTTCAGTCCACGACTACTCTTACTTTTATTTTATTTTATTATAATCTTTTTTTTTTTTCTTTTTATAATTGTTTTCTTAAGGCGTTTTTTTATTTTAAAAAATTATATGTTACATATTTGCTATATTTTCTTAACACTATTTTTAATTGTGATTTTTTAAAATTAATAATAAAAAATAAAAATTATTATAAACAAAAGTTGAAAAACCTTTAAATATCCATTATAAAAAATTTTAAAATACTCGAAATATTTATTAAAAAAATATTTTAATTTAAAATACCCCCTCCGTTCACGGATTATTACGTATACATTTACTTTTGGCGCGATGCGGTGTTCAAGAAATAACAGTATTTTAATTATAGTGGATAATTAAAAACAGTGTAATGACATTTTTGTCCTTATTTTTTGATATAAAAGTAATAATGTGATGTAAAGTAAGGATATTTGTGGAAAAAAATGAGGTATTTAATGAAATATTTACTTTGTAATTGGACGTCCTAAAATAGAACTATGTATATTTTCTATTTGGACGGAAGGAGTAATATTTTTATATTTTTGACATAATTTTATATAAGTACACACAACAAATAATTTCATCTAAAAAGTTGTGGAGCTATTACTTTATTTTTCAGCACTATTATAAAAATAAAAATCAAAAAAATAAAAAAGTAGAAAAAAAAAACTTTAAATAATTATTATAAAAATTCAAATATTCAATATAAAATACTCTCTCCGCCTCTTCAATAAATATTCCTTTACTTTTTACATGTAATTTAAGTTATATTAGTATTATATCGATATATAGTATAAATAAAGTAGAAATGACTAAAATAATCTTATTTATATGGTGTGATATAAATATAATGATATTTGTGTAATGTAATGAAAGTTGTAAGGGTATTTGTAATGTTAGGAAGAATACAATTACACGTTACAACTAGTCTATTACCAGTGCTATGCATGGCTAGTTATAAAAATTGTCATATTAATTTAATTTTATATTTTAAATAATAAATTTTATTTTGACATTAAGACTTTGTATGAAGATAGCCAAAATTAATTTATATAAAAAAATAAATTATAAATAAAAAAAATACGGTAACTAAACCAAATAAATAATATTAAATAAGCGAATCAAAATTTCATAAATATATATTCCAATTAAACTCAAACATAATAGAGATAATAAATAATTATTCATATCACTATTAAATTAAAAATTAAAATAAATTTGAAAGAAGTTTGTATCTATCAATGAGAGTAATAATTTTAAAGTTTATTTATTGTTTCGGGTTACCCGGCTTGTTTTGATTTATGGGTGGTGTATGAATTGTTTGCACTACCAAAAAATTAAGCTATAGCTGCGGGAAAAAAAGTCACGGTTTTAGTACAAATTGGTGACTTTTTACTAAAAAGTCACGGAAAAATATACGGAACTATTTCCGTTGAATTTTGCTGGTGACTTTTTTTAAGTGGTGACATTTCTGTGACAATAAGTTATAGAATAATACCATGACATGCCTGTGACTTTATATAGCAACAGAAGCTGCAACAAAATTTCGTAAATATTTTATAATTGTGACATTTTCGTGACAATAAGTTACAAAATAATACCATTACACCTCTGTGACTTTATATTGACGAAAGTTGTAACAATTCCGTGATTTTATATTTTTGAAAAAAAAAATATTATATTATAATTTGTGTTCAATGCAACCACACGCGATTATTTTTTTCGGAATTACTTCGTACCACACTATTTTTCAACCAATGACCTTATAGTTAGTTTTTAATTTAATCTGGCAAGTCGAAGGGTTTCGAACTAGTAACCTTATAGTTATTAAAGACTTACACGACATGTCATGTCAACTTAGCTATCTACGTATTACTTTTTGTTTGTTATTATATTTTAACTATATAAATATTATTGATTATAACTTTATCTTTTAAAAATATATACATATTTATTTAATATATCATCATGAATTTTTAACAAAAAATTGAATAGCTACGAACAATATTGAATAAAGATATTGAAGATGATTTTATTATTTTGTTATTACTTTGAATAGCTACAAACAATAATAAGAAAAATTTATAGTTATTTTCGTTACTTATGTTGTGAAATTTGATTTTAAAAAGTCATAAAAATTATACTATGACAATATCTGTAATAATTTAAAATGTTGGAAATATTTTGGTTATTTTTGCCGCAACTTAAAATAGTCAAGAAAAAATTTCGTGACAATTTTTGTGACGAAATAATCAAAAGACACGGAATAGAAATATCTTGGACATTTTCATTATACAAGCCGTTACTTTAAATAGTCACGGAAAGTTGTTTGTAGCTTTTTCAGCAAATATTATTTACGGAATAGTCAAAACAAAAAGTTGTGACATAAATTTGTCACGAAATTACTTTCCGTGACTTTTAATTGTCACATATTAAAATTTGCGACAAATTTCCGCAATTATCAACCTTTTTTCTAGTAGTGTTGGTGATTTATTCTTGGCTTATGGTTCATTTGACTGTATTTAGTATCCACTCCATTTTTTAATTTTTTTTTAAATATTGTTATATGTTTATCCTAGGATATGGTCAGTGCAACAAGTTGATGAATATTTTTTGTTCTAATATGAAGTATCATGCTACCATATTCTTGATTTATTTATATGTCTGGATATGTCGTTTAATTTCGTATATCAATTACAAGTTTGCATGTCATATATCATTCTTCTTGGATGTAACTAGTATAGGTTTTTCGTATTTATATAGGTACCCTAGCCATCGTCAAAGTATTTATCACAGTTGTTACGGTCCCTGAGACCCCACTTACGCTCCCAACAAATGCCAGAGTGAAGATATTTGGTGAGGTACTCGACGGAGATAACATCGACTCGATATATAAGGTTGTGCATGTTTTTTTAATAGTTTAATTCATTTGGAAACTAATGGTGTGTTTGCAGTATATTTTATTTTTAATTTTTTTCTTTTTTGTACAATTTAACTTTTATATTTTTTTAAAAATTATATTATTTTAATTTTACAAAAATCAAATTTGATTTCTTGTTAAAATATTTAATTTTTATGATTTTTTAAGAAATTGTAATAAAATATAATTTTAAAAAACATCGTATATAATTTATAATTTATTTTTTTTAAAAAAAGTCACCAAAAATATTTTTTATGGATTTTCATTCGTTAAAACTTTTTTCCTTTTAATCCGGTTAATCATTTATTCTTGTTTGATCTATTCATATAGCTCAATTTATTTTATTTTTTTTACATTTTTCAACTAAATTCTCTATTTTACCAAATAAGATAATTAATTCTCATTCTCTATTTAATTCTATTTCTTTCCAATACCATTTTCTATTCTCATTTCTTTACAATTTCATTCTCTGTACCAAACGTCACCTAAATGATTTCAATTGTAGTAATAAATTTTTATATATTGGCTCTCGTTACAGTTAGTTCGCCGTCCCTAACTTCTTGTCTTTCTGATTCTTAATTGACGAGCTTTGATGTCTGAAGTAGTCCTTCTTACCTCAGCGTAAAGATTGCACCTTTTTTTGTGCTAAATTGATCTTATGTATTATGTTTTTACTTTGGAGATTATATATTAGTTAGCCGTTATGATGATCTACGTTACAATCATAGTTGGGGATATTTCAAAGTACTAGTGACGGTTATGTTTCTACTTTTGACGTGTATATGAACGTCGTTGGTTTGCATTTTCTTTTGTGGTGATAAAAGCTATATTTGACACAGATATGTCTATTGTATCATATTTTTTGTTATGGACAATTTTCAAAACAAAAAGAGTTTCACAGTGAAATGACGTTTGCACTGATACTTTTATAGCGCATTTTTTGTTACAAACATATTCGCAGCAAAGAATTCTCTAACATGAGGGGTGTGTTTGTTTTGGGGATTGGGTTTTAAATACACCATTCATCCCATTTTTTTCTCCAAAAAAAATATCAAATCAAACACCTAATTTTTAATTTTTATTTTTTTTATATTATACTAAAAATCAATTTTACATTCAAAACATCACATCAACACATATTTATATCACATCATACAACTATTCAAATTCAAAATTTTTACTATTTAAATCCCAACTCAAAATCCAAACCCTCAAACAAACTCACATCATATTTTTACTTTTGTGACATTTTTTGTTACTGACAAATTTCGTAACAAATAGCTCACTGACATGAGGTTCATTTTTGTTCCGCATTTTTTGTTACGGCAATATTCCATCACAATAAGTTCTCTGGCAAAATCATCATATTTGTATCATATTTTTTGTTGCAGATATATTTCGTGACAAAAATATAGTTGCACTTTTTGTTGCATATAAGAAAACGTAACAAATACAATTAAAATGTGTTTATTAAGGACGTTCACCGCCTCTTATTTGTTTCAGATTTTTCCGTAACAATGACTTTTTGTACCACAATTTTTCGAAGCGGTTAAAATCTGTAACAAAGTCGACATAAAAATTTTTTTTGCACGAAAATTGAGCTTTTGTTACGAATTTTTGACCGCTACAAAAAAACCAATTTTTTGATAGTGTTGATATGATATAAATGGATGTTGATTTGATATTTTGAATGTAAAATATATTTTAATATAATATAAGGTAAAAATATGTGATAAATGCACAAAAGAACACGAAAACTAGTTTTTTTCAAAAGGATTGAATAAGAATAAACGTAAGGCATTATATATTTGATAATGAATAAAAATATATATATAATTAATTATAACATTTGATATAATAAATATTACAAATTAATCATAGAGATTGAATCAAAAGTTAGTTAAATTTTTTCAATTAAAAATCATCAATAAAATTAATACACTACAAAAAAAAAAAATATCAATTTTGTAACAAAATTTTTTCGTTTTTAAATCCACTTTTTTCGTTACTAATGATATTAGAGACGGAATTAGGAATGAAATTACTTTAGCTACGTGAACTTTAGGAAC